TATTGTTGAATTATATATGTTTGCATGGTTGAGAGAGTTTCATAGATCAAAGGTGGTCATGTAGACACGTTGCTAAAATATTTTCAGCCCTATGATTTTTGTTAGTACTATTTTAAACTGACTTTCATATGGAAAGGAAAACTGCTTGATCTATTTTTAATGAAGAAGCGCTTCTTTTCATTCCCATAGCACATGTAACATCTGTTGATATTACTTTTGCCACATTTTTAGTTGATTATAGATAAATGGCCGCCCCTAATGTTTGGAAAGAAAGGGGAGATAAATGCCTTTATGTGAGTTTAATCCTATCTTTTGGACAATTTGGCGGAATTCCTCTAGAGCGACAAATGGTAAGTAATAAATTACTTTTGCCCCTCGAATTAGTTGGCAAAGAATTTTGGAGTTACTTACCAGTTTGTCCCTCTAGAGTAAACTTCCACACCCCATTGTACAGAAAGAAATGTAAACTCACGATAAGCTTTTGTATTCGTTGCCTTTCTTCAAATTAGGGGCCGATTTACTATATACTAAAAATCGTGCAAAAGGTAAAATGATACGTATACAAAAGATGGTTAATGTGCTATGGAATAAAAGAGGATGCTTCTTATAAAATAGTCACAGTTTTCCCTTTTCCTAAGGAAGCATTTAAAATAGCACTTAACAAAAATCAATAGGCTGCAATATTTTACAACGTTCTTACATGACACCTTTGAGTCTATGAACTTCTACCAGAAACATATATATCATTCACGTTCCATTGAGTTAACATTCAGCATCCAACTGATTTTGTAACATGCACACAGATACGTGCTTAGGGCACTTGTCACTCTTTTCGTGTGCAGAATTGTTAAGTTTTGTCAGGAAACCTTTTAAATAATGGAAATTAATTCTTTATAGTTGCTCTAGACATGCCCAGATGGAACAGTTACTCCTTACGCGAATGTACTGCTAAAATGGTACCAGGACTACTTAGCAGATACAATCTTTACTGCCTACCTCGCCATCAGGCTCTCATTGGGGGAATCGTTAAAGGGCTAATTTTTCTCCCTCCTCCTTCCTGGTATCAGAACTTACGCCCGCGCGGCCAGCTGCCAGGTAAAAATTATAGAATGGATTATGGACAGGAACTGCGCTGGCATTCTCTGTTGTGCTTTTCTGAAATCAGATGTGTAAAGCCTTTCCCCTTGAAACATCAGGCATATCTCTTCAAATCCTGTTTTTAAAAAAAGATGACATACGAAACTATCAACATAGGTGGACCTTTGAAAAAAAATTAAATCGAAGTTCCATTGAGTAACATTCAACATACCAACTTTTTTAAATGCACAAGATAGTGCTTAGGCACATTGTCCACTCTTTTCTTTTCAGAATCTTTAATTTATGTCACAACTTTAAATAATGGAAATTAATTCTTTATTTGCTCTAGCAATCAGATGAGAAATTACTCTTAAATACTGTAAAATGTACCAGAATACACACTATACAATATTTACTCTTATCTGCCATCAGGCTGTGGATATGTTAAAGGGTAATTTTCTCCCTCTTTCCTGGTTATCAGAACTTACCTGCCCCGCAGCTTGCCAGGTAAAATTCATAGAATGGATATTGACAGGAATCGCCGGCATTCTCTGTTGTGCTTTTCTGAAATCATGTGTAAAGGGGGCCATTTTCCCCTCTGAAACAATCAGGATATCCTCTTCAAATCCTGTTTTTTAAAAAAATGACATACGAAACTATCAAACTAGGTGGACTTGAAAAAAAAATCTAAATCAGAAGTTTCATGCAAAAAAAAAAAAAGAATTAGCATGGGTGATTTCTGATTAGGAACCACCTGCTTTTGGTACCAACGACTACTGAAATTAATTTTCCTCTGTATGTGGTAAGAATGATGCCAAGGGACACACGCTTTCAGGGAAAAGGAATGGACATGGGGTTAACTGATGCAGACAAATGCTAGGTGCACCTAAAAACGTAGGGCTGTAAAAACTAGCAACAGCATGATCAGGACACGAGATAGATCAGCTTTGGCTTCTTAAGAAAGAAGTTTCTACGCTTTCAGAGGGGAAAATATTTAATGAAAAGAGGGGGAGCCATCTCCCTTGGGAATTAAGTTTTAAAGCACGCTGTAAAGGCATGTACTGCTCCGTCGTTGATGGAAGAGTGGGGAGCGCGGGGACACGGGCGGGGGCAGGGTGCCGGCCGCGGGGCCTTACCTATGAGCACTCTCGCCTGGTGAGCGTCGATCCACAGGTACAGGCTCTCCTCCCGCGGCGGCCCGGCCTCCGCCCGCACGGCGAGCAGGCACAGGAGGATGCTCCAGAGCCGGCGCGCGGCGGCGGGGAAGGCGCGCCTCCCAGCCATGCTGCTCGGGACCCCCTCTCGGGCGGCCAAACTCCCGCTGCTGCCCCTACCTGCGCAGCCTGCGGCCGTCAGGTTCCCGGCCCCGCGTCCGCTGCCGCCGCCGGGGCTGTTCCCGCTTAGACGGCTGGGCGCGCAGCCTCCTGGCTTGGGTGCCGGACTGCCTGCGCGAGCCGGAGGAGGAGGAGGTGGGGAGGAGGAGGAGGAGGAGGAGGAGAAGGGAGGGAAGAGCGCGGGAGGAGGGAGGGGATGAGCGGCGCGAGCTGCGCAGGAGGAGGGGGCGCGGGGAAGGCAGAGGCGCGAGACTGGCAGAGCTGGAGGTGCCCGCGCGCTCGGCGAGGCCAGCGGTCCCGGCGTCAAATATAGCGAGAGGAGCGGAC